TCATGTTAATCACCCCTGCAATAGAAAATCTTGATTGACCTTAAGATTAATGAACAGTATGGAAATGTCTCTTTCCCTTTTTCAAAACTTGTTAAAATCATATCCTCCAATTAAGTTGGAAATAATATCAATAATTGAAGAAAAATGTCATTTCATCCCTATTCATTTGCTTAGTTTGATAGGCTGAAAAATTTACTTCACCTTAATCTCCATTTTTCAGCCCTGTTATCATTAATTTAAAAAGAGCCATAACTTTGTATTTGATTATGAGAACAAATATTTCATTTTCTCAAATCATAAGACCATTGATTGCATTCCATTATTTGAATTAAAAAAAATTAAGATGGCATTTATTATAATGGTAAAGCATAATGTATAATACATAATACAGACTATTAAATTAAGGCTCTTTTTATTACCTGAGTCTTTGAGTAAGGCTTGGATCTTAGAACTACAGGATGTCTAAGGGTACTAAAGTAGATAACAATCATTTTGTTATAGTTTCTTGCATCCTCCTTAAATCACTTTGATTTATTGTGAAAAATTGAGAAAAAGCGATTTGAATATTTGAAGTTTGAAATAGATGTATGTGAATATGAAGGTGATTTTTATTAAATAATTTTAATCTATGGGTAGGGCCAATTAAATTCTCATTTCAACATATTTCATTAATGAAAGAAATAGTCATTTCGTGCATCACTATTTACATATATACATGAAGTTGCACTTTCGATATATGTTATCATCCTTTGTAAGTAAAGAATTAATATTATTTTCATTCAGATATCAAATAATAATAAATCAAAGACTATGGATTGGGATAAAAAATAAAAAAAACGATGGGAATCTAAAATTAAAATTGTAATAATCTCCAAAATCTTTTCTTTCAACAACTTCTAAAGAGAAGCCTAATTGTTTTTGATTATATACAAAACATTCTTTATGTAATCGCTTATTTTTACTATAAAATGATTAATTCAGATGCATAAATTAATGATAAAAATTAAACGTTATCTCATTAATTTGAAATGAATCAAATTATTAGTGAATTTCATTTGATATTGAAGTATTTGATAATTTAACAAAGTGGTAAAGTTCATTCTTTTTTTGGTTGGGAGTGAATAAATCATTAGTATAAACAACAATCCTTCTAATTGTTACAATTAAATTGTAACAACTTATCATAACTTATACTCAGATAAATTGAATTAAATAAGTTCAAATTATTGTTGTTAAGTTTGGATGGCTAGTTGTAGACCACCTACAACAAAACAGCAAGTAAAAATATAAATCTGTCCCTTAGTTTTAAATAAGCCAGTCATAAAAGAAAATTCTTATTAAGAGTATTTTTGAATGATCCCATTAAAAATATTATTTTTGAGAAACTAATCTTTATGTGAGCTAGGTCTGTGGAGTCAAGGTTCAGACTTGATAAGACTGAATGTAAATACTTCGTCAAGGTTGAAGAGTAATAAGCGCATGCGGCAATACATATATACCTAATCTAATTTACAAATTCCATCATTGCTTCTAAGTCCATTCTTAATATCCAAGTAACTATTAAATCCATTATCCATTTTTTAATCGCCTGCATTAAATCAATTAAAAAGGTTGGTTGGTCTCTTTAGAAAAGTACCATATAGGGTTAAGAAGAGCTGTAAAAATTTCCTTATCCAAATTATTCGACAAATTTCTCAAGTCCTTATCCGAATCATTCTTTGGGAATAGTTTTTTTGCACTGATCTTGATGATCCTTGAATTCTAGTTTTATAATTTTGAACTCTTACTCTTTTCTTAATTGGTAAGTAATTTGAACATTTCTTTATACTCCACTTCCAATGTATGGGGAATTTATTATCTAACTCCGGAAAATATCAAAAAATGGGAGCTTGCCGTATCGACAACATAATTATAAATTATGGAGCACGGAACATGAGTTATTGATAACGGAAAGCTATTGTTTTTCTAATCAGTTGAATATTCTTCTCTTCTATTTTAAACGTGATCTGTTTCTGCTTATAAGTTAGTACTCTTTTCATGTTGCGCAATAACTTGGCGAAAATATCCAATAAAGAAATTAAACTTATTTGTTATTTAAATCTATTAGTTCTATTTATACAATTTTTCTAATTTGATCTTTTATTTAATTTCATTATGCGTCTATTAGCGAATGTAATTTACATCATATCGCTAGCCCTTTATATGAAAGTGAACGAATAAGAGAATACTGTATGAAGGAGATGATAAATATGAGCCTGGAATCGAAAAGAAATATGTCTTTCTGTCAGAAGATATTGAGGATTAGTTAGGTATAAAATGAATGAATTATAATCGATTATGTACAAGTGCAGGACTATCATTTACAGATGAAAGGATTTTCAATATAACGTACAAACAATTATTAATACCATATTGTTCAATATATAATTACAAGGTGCCACTTTATTCAAGCCATTGTTGCCCAAAATCATTAAAATCATTAAAATCAATACAAACGTTTGTTTTTGTGGGCACTAAAACTATTGTGACAGATAGTCACAAAAAGTAATTGTATAATTTATATTGATGCAAATACCTGCATGTCTTCGGTACTGCTGATAAAAGCATTTTTAGATATTTGGGACTTGTCTAAAATGTTCATAAATTATCAGTTAAATAGTAATTGCATTAAGAATTAAAGTTCAAGCATCTTTTATAATCCAAATATGGTCTTATCCTTAATAGTTACACTCTGTTTTATGTATGTATTGCCAATTTCTAGATAAAAAATGTGCGATAGAGTATAAATTCTATTTTATCAATTAATATAATATAATGAGGAAAATAACTTCTCTCTTTCGCATATTATAAATCCTAATTACAAAGAGCAATAGAAAAATTGCCTTCATCAAATGATTTATGAACAGAAATACTAAATTATTGTTATTCAATTCATAGGACAGTCATTTAAGTCATGGCATCATAAACACAACAAATAAGAAGTGAATCAATTTAGCATCTCTATTTTTGGCTGATACTCTTTGGAATGTTGTTTTCACATCTCAAATTAGATAATGCTTGTATTAAGTCTCACTTATATCTAAAACTACCTATTGAATTCAAAATAGATAAACTAGTCTCCGGAATATTCTAACATAGAGTTGAAGGAATACAACCATCGAGTATAGCAAATTTAGAATGCACACAGTAAGATACCTACATTCAGATAATATAAAATGTATTAATATAGCGAGATGTTGAACTATCATGTGAAGTACTCTTATTAACTGTGAGACAAGGAATTCAATTTTATATATCCAAAATTATCCAAATTTACCTTTTGGAAGTCTAATTCTTGTGAGATGAAGCACAACTGCAGATTGGAAATTATCAGGATTTAACATTGGGTCAGATTAATTATTAGTATCATTTATAGAATCTTCAATTCACGATTAATGACTAATATGATTGTGATGTTCATCAATTTATAGGGAGAGAGATACTAATTAACAATAATCATATTACCATGGCAAACATGATCAGTTACATTAATGATAAACAGTTAGGCAAAAAGAGCAATTGTTTTATTTGAGCAACACAAGCAATGCTCCTCTTTCCTCTTTCTAAAGTACAATAATTTCCAACACAACATAATCGAAAACTATGGTTTAAATTGCAATACATAATTTATAAATCTAGTTGTAAAGAATTAGCAAAATTATAGTAATGAGGAACTCTTCTCAACCAAAGAATAAATAGTAATAATATCTTCAAATGTATCGCTAGTTGTGCTACATGAATTGTATACAACAAGTTAAATAAAATTAAAGCATTCTGAACATTTGTAGGCTGGGGTTGCATTAAAAGTATTTAAATTTAAGAGTTTAAGTAGAAATTTAGTAGGAGTCGCTAACAGTTTTAAACAATTGGTGCTTAATAATTACATGTTCTATACTCAGTAGCAGAGGTTTCGGTAAACCACACATTGAATCGTTCATTAAAGAAAACTATTAGGATTTTGAATTTGTTATAAATATCTAAAAAGAAGAATTTGATACTATATTAGCGAATGCACCTGGCAACTATTTAAGACTTTACCTGAGAGTCATGTATTTAACTCATTTAGGAGATAATTGAGTTGTAAGATTTTCCACAAAAATTATTATTTAGGTTTAGAGTAGAACAAGAACTTCCTTTTTTTATAAATGATTTATAGCACTACGTAAGCAGTCATCAGTAATGCTGGTTTGCAGAGTCTTATCACTTGTCACCTTTTTAATACATAAGTCAAATGATACAGGAAGCATCGATTCCATGCATGTTAAACAATTTGCATTTTTCATATTAATTGTTCTCTATTACATGTTAATTAATATATATCTCACTGGATAATAATAACTGTAACAATCTTAGATACACTACGAATGTTTATCCATTTTTAAGACCACCACTGAAACAACTTAGATTAAAATGATGTGGTTAAGTTTTTTTATAAATTTTATATTTATTTGATTATCAAATATTATGACCTCTTAGATGAAGTAAACGCTAGATGCAAAGCTTTCATATATAAAATCTCCAGCATTGTTAATGTATTGATTAAGCAACTTAGACATGAAAGTATAAACGCATGCATTTATATTAAGATGGAATCCAATCCATCATCACAAATCGAGTAAGGATTATCTGCAAGATTTAAAACAAATAGTAATAACCATCATAATCTTGTTAGTTATTCTCCTGCTATTTTCTTAATAGAACGTATGCTTTTGATGCATGTTGAACTCTATATCAAGAGCCAATCTTCAAGATATAATAGAGGTCATGAATCTACTTTATTACTGCTAGCAATCAATTTAAGCATTTTCAACTCCTAGTAAGCTGTGCTGCAGAGACATGTGACACCTGTCGAACTTCATTTATTACTACTAATTCTTTTTCCCAGTATCAATTATCCTATACTACTTGGCTCATACTTCTAAAAGTTAGGATAATAGAACAACTTGTACTGAAGTCAACGTTTGCACAAAATCTTGGTACAGATGCAGTATTTAATTTTAACCTTAAGTTGCAACACTGACTCTACACTGTATAAACAATTGAGAATATCCTGCTGGTTTTTGCTCTTATGCTGTAGCTGTTTAACACTTGGTGATTATTACTTACATGCTAATGTAGGATATACCTTACTAAAATGCAGTAGGTTTGTTTTTTGATTGTTATTACCACCTCAAAAAATAATTTTTATCGTTATTTTCAGGGACTCATTACATCAAAGTAATAATTTGGTCATCCTGTAATGAAATTTGTTAAAAGTGTACCAATGTCTTGTTGTAGTGTTAATTCACTTCTCTTAGTTTAAAGATTGTGATGTCAAATTTTTCTGTGATAATCTCTCACTTCCATTCCTGATGTACATGTGGAGTTTTGTAATTTATGATACACTAAAAACTTTTCAACTTTAATACAGTAACTTCTTCACTCTGATTATGCTAGAATTTTGTCTAAATAATTCAAATGCATGTTGACCTTGCTATAATACAAAAAAGTGCTCATACTTTTCCTCTAGAAATACTAGTGTTTCTTTAGTACAACTCTTGTGATTAATGTTATCAACCCTCCAATGCTTTAACAATCACATCTAATGTTTTTGCGAAATGTGATTAAGCTTTTTTTATAAAGCACTATAAAAATTATGATGCCTATAATTAATGTAATTTATCATACCTTCGGCCTTTCCTTGACTCTGGTTTTACATTACGGCAAATGCTTCCTTCAAATAATAATGCATGTGTTGATTCTTGTGAACCTTACAAAATATATGTTGATACTAGTCACTTATTCCACTAAATTCCCTGCAATCCTCAATTTACCACTCCTTGTGTTTAATGCCACACTAATGGAGATAATTTTGACTCATGCATTTTCTACAACTCATTGCATGTTTAAGTTGTGAATATTATAAGGCTGTTAGCTGCTGAATCAAGTTGTTGTGGATATTTTATGACGCTTCCAAAAATCATCTTGGTTTTATTTAATGTTCTACATCATTTTGGCTTGTGAACACTCAGTTACCTTATGCACATCATGCTACAATGCGGTGTATCATTTAACTAAAACCATTCCTATCACTCTATTTAATGTGCTAATCCGTATAAATTAAGCTCTTCATATTTACCAAGTTAGAGTTCTAAAAGGAAAAGTAGAACATGATAGAACAGCACAAGTAGAACAATGATTTAATCACAAGAATTTTAAAGAATTTCTGTATCATTGCCTCCTGAAATGCTCAACATTCTTTGTACGACCAAATAAACCAGAGCATTAAATATGATTGTCAGGAAATTATAATAGACAATGAGATAATAACTCTAGGATGATTTTCAGTGACTTGAGACCTACAACTTTCAGCTCTAGTATAGAGATATGTCATTAATTTCCAAATTAATTTTGATACAACTTGTAAAATATTCGAGCCTAGCTAGTAATTGTTACTCTTCTTTTATGGCCATGATTAAATAATTAAACCTCTACTTAATGTTCTGAATCTGACAAAGTGTTCTTATCTAGGTACTTGTTCTACGATTTTACTTCCTTGCTAATTCTTTTTGCTTATAGTATAGTGCAGCACAAATTCCAACCTCAATGCTTAGTATAGTTGTTTAAATGTCAGACTTTTAGCCATCAGAAACCTCTCTAATAAAAACTTTCTGCATTTTTATCATTAATAGATATGCTATAATTTACATCTAACAATGCCCAATAATATTAATTCAAATTTTCATATAATTCACCTAAATTAATATTTTCGAAATTATACTTCTTAAAGTGTATGCTTCTGAAAATTACGGATCAATGTTCAAAGCTTTATTATTTTCTAAAATTGATTCTTCAATTCTATAAGTATTTTTAACTCCTAAAATTATTGTGTACTTATTTTACTTAGCTTTTTAAATAAAGTCCAAAAGCATCATCATTTTCTGATTCCTTTTCCTTAATTTTGCTCATTTTTAAGTTTTATTCAACTTAATCTCTAAATTAATTAATAAATTTACAGAATTATTTATCAGATTAAATTTCAAAGTTTTAATTATAAAATTTATCAGCCTTGTGTTTGAAATTAAAATACTTTAGGATTGGTTTTGTTCAGATATCCATGATATTAATAGTTTTTTATTTTTATTTAATATTTATTATTAGAAGTAAAACTGATTATAGGATAAAAATGATACTCAATGAAGGCAAGTAGCAAGTGAATTCAAATTTTATTTAAGAAGAATATAGAGGAAATATGAAATAAATAATATGATGACCTCAACTTGTAAATAAGTGCAAAAGTCATTTATATTTTAAGAATATGAGAGAATATAGTAATTGCGTTTCTATTGCTATTAAGTTAGGTGCTATACTTAGTCAGAATCACAAGATGTGCAATTCTTTGATGTAATTTCACATGCAAGGCAATTCGAATTACATTTAGAAAAAGTGACCAGCTAACATTCTTAATACCTTAATTGACATTTTCAGCTATTTCTATTTTTCTTGTTTAGAGACATGATAAACAAGATCGTTCAAAACAACTTAAACTTTAAATATCGTATTTTAACATTATGTTGATTTTCAATCATCTTAAATAACCAAATAAACACTGCCGTGTATTATTATAAAGTAACATATTTGAACTGCCCATGTGGAAACATGATGTAAAGGAATTAGCATTTCCAGAAATGCAAGCTAAGCAAGAGTAATGGCAATTTTCAACTCCAGTATCATAGCATCCAATCTAAGAATCACTAGAATAATAAATTCTTTTTGATTCCATTAAATATTATTAACATTTAGTTGCGGTATCATTGCATTTAAGGAAGAATAACGGCATTCTTAAATGATTATTGCAGATTTAAATTTAAATCCATCGCTCACTCCATCATAACAGCTTTGAATAAATTGGCATTTATTCATAGATTAATTTTATGCATTGTTTTCCATTTGAAAACGTAAAGTTACCATTGAAATATTGATTGCAGTTTTGATTTCGTTAATAAAACCTGATATTTACTATTACAAGAATCCTTTGATAGATCTACTTTATGAAAAAATACTAGTAAAATACTATCATACTATAATAATAAGAAAAATGCTTCATATAATATAACATTTTTTGGATTATCTTTTAAAAGATCATATGCTAGGCTTATTAAATATTTAGCGATTTACTTCATGTATTCTGAAATGCTTCTTTCCTTTTTAGAGTCGAACTTTTAGTCTAATTCCTCATCATCTTAAAACAGTTTTCCAGCTTGTCAATCCAATTTCCTGCCTCTCACATAGATTAACAAGGGTGGAATGTCATGCATATTATTACAATAAATTTTATATTCGCTCCACCTATATTTAAAGGGTTCAAAATCCATAGCCCATATTCTTCTGATTTTAATGGATTTGCTCTCCTGCTTCCTTTCTTATTAATTTCATTGATTTCTATTCCATACTTTTGATTTCTTATTCTTTTTTCAAAGTGGATCTTCTTTTTCTAATAGGTAGTCCAAATGTTTTCTTAATCGTTGCGGTAGGTTTCTGGATGGCAAAACTAATATTTAATTGTCATCTGTAATTGCAATCATGATAATGGTTTGATATTATTTTACTTTCAACAATATTTGGATGCATTGCAGCATTTAGAATTAAGAATAAGCCTATATGATTTTCTCATTTGTATGTAAAATTCCATTCTCATTTTTAAATTATGAAATCTTTTGATAAAAATATAATAAAACAAAAATTTATCTTTTTCATTTCATCACAGTTTGATATGCAAATGCTGTTGCCATCATTTTAAGCAAAGGTTATATA